GGAAACCAAGTTATTCACACATTCTGCTCTTGCTGAACTTGTAACACGTATATGTATTTATATTTCGTTATGAGATGACGTGCAGCTTCAGCACCTCCCGTGTGGACAGCGACACGCTTCCAGTGTGAATACAGTGTGATTCTGGAGTGTGAAGGAGTCTGGAGTATGTTTTGCAGTAACACTGCTGGCACTACAGTCAGTTTGTGGTACTCTGATTTTACAAGTTTTACTTGAACTGCACTGGCTATTTTGTTCGCTGAACATTAACTGATCACCGTGGACTTGCTCACTCAATCACCACTGGCCTGATATTTGTGTTTATTTGACTTTTTCCTTCATATTCTTCAGAAAGCAGACTATTTCATTGTGTGAAGGATGTAGTGAACATGTGGCATCATGATCATTTGTGAATACTCATGTAAATAGACTCCAAAGAACCAGCTGGTTGTGTTTTGCAGACGTGTTCAGCACTAATATTGTATGTTGTGGCGCTCGCTGAATGAGCTCACGGTGGGCAGATAAACGCAGACACTGTCAGGAGCTGCCCACAATTCAGCTCATACCGGGAAGCACATTTTGCTAAGTCAGGATGAATTTCCCTCTCGGATTGAGGAGAGGAATGTGATTCTCAAAATGGCCATCAAGTGTCAAACTTGGATGTTTCATAGGCAGGTTTTAGTTTTAAACCCGGGTCATATGCATGAAACGGTGCCGTTTGTGCCTGAAAAATGCTGGATTTTTACAAAGGATTTGATTGTTTTTTGAACCAGAATTAATACCCCATTTAAATTACTAACTATTACCCCAAAAATAAAACATGGTCGCTGCCTTACACAGCATTTAATGTTACTGTTACCACAAAAAAAGCTATTTGGACCGTGTTTGGACTGTAATATCTAGACTTATAATTTGAATAGATAATTCTAGTAGTATCACAAGTTTTGTGTGCCTTACAACACTAAATAAAAAAATTATAAATTAAAATTAATATAATTTAAAATGCAATCAATTAAAAAATACAATCACATAATTTTTGCATTTTAATTGAATTAATGTTTACATTTTTTTTGGGGGGGGGGGACATTTTTGCACTGCTGTTCAACTCCAAATAAAATATATATATTGTGTGTGTGTGTGTGTGTGTGTGTGTGTGTGTGTGTGTGTTTGTGTGTGTGAGTGTGTGTGAGTAGGATTGTTTTTTTTCTGACTAGTGCTATGTGAAGACATTACGTACTGTGAAGAACATTAAATGGCTATAATCCGAACTTCAGTCAATGTTACTCAAGGTTTCTTTCACCAAAAACTTTCGCAATTTCTTAACAATTTCTGAATCATTCCCCTCTGAAGTTCTCAAATAGGCTACTCTGATTGACTTGTATACAATACAGAATAGTTTCAAAGCATTGCAAAATTCATCCATTCTGAAGTTATTTCTAAGCAGCTCTACAGATGACTGTTGTCATTATTCAGCTCAATTCAGTGTTGATTCAGTTCAGTTCAATAACTGTCGATGTTGCATAGAATGACGATAAAGTAGCATGATAGCGTTTAACACATGAATTATTATATACTACATGCTGTTTCACATACTATTAAAATAGTAGACAGGTGGCTGTAAAGTTTCCATTCCATGTCAACATGCTACATCCAAATCTTTTATTTTAAAGCGTCAAGGAAAATCCATGTTCGCGATCATGGCTCATCTGTCTACAGACACTTGGATAAATTGCTTTTAGCCGTCTGTTGCGTCTAAATGTAAGTGTGGAGCTCTGTGCCAGTGAGGCGAAAGTGATAATCATCATAATGAATTATTCAGCAGGTTGAATGGGTTCAGTTGAGTTTTTCAGTCATTATTAACAGTGTTGAGGAATTGTCGTTTCTGTTTGTTTAACCTCTTGTTGCATTTGTCTGAGATATGTGTGTAGGCGCTCGAGGAATCTCTCCTGTGCATGTGTGAGTTTGCTCAGACTCTCACAATCTGACTTTGTTCTTGTGGTCGGACTAGTTATTCTGCCTTCCTGAACCTGTGGGCATCAATGTATGTCATTTGGAGTATTCCAGACATTTCAGAAAGAAAGCAACTGATGTAGATGTAGATGCTAAACTCAAAGCGACTGGTTTCTCCAGTCTGTATTACGTCAACAGGTGTTCCTGAAATGTGTGTGTGTGTGTGTGTGTATGAAGAGCTCATTTGCAAAAACAGATAACTCCGTTTTTAAAAATGTTCAAAAATCGTGTATTTTTTTTATCCTGCATTCCAATTAATATCAATCAGACTGCAGTTGGGTTGTTTTGAGTAAATAATAATAACAACTACAAAATACAGCTAACTAACACAATAAAAACATGACAACACAATAAAAAACATGATTTATGAAAATGAATCAAAACTAGTTATCTGTTTTTGCAAGTAAACTCTTTCTCTCTCTCTCTCTCTCTCTATATATATATGTATGTATGTGTGTGTGTGTGTGTGTGTGTGTGTGTGTGTGTGTGTGTGTGTGACCCTGAACCACAAAACCAGTCTTAAGTATAAATTTTTCAACATTGAGATTTATGCATCATCTGAAAGCTGAATAAATACGCTTTCCGTTGATGTATGGTTTGTTAGGATAGGACAATATTTGGCCGAGATACGGCTATATCTTTGTATTACTAATATTCAGGCTTGAACATCAGCGTCAAAATGTCTGATATTTTGGTTCATTTTAACACTATATAACCCATTAAAATGTAATGGTGATGTATGGGAATGATATGCACATATTCTGATTTAATTTTTGAATGATTTTCTTTCGCATAGTTCGATCGATCAGTGGACGTGTAGACACACACACACACACTCTCACACACACACACACACACACACACACACGGCAGCGTTTCCTGCAAATCTCCCGCCAAACGACTGTTTGATCAAACGCTTTCTCACCAGTTTCACTCTGACTCTGAATGTGACGCTGTAATGCTTTCTTTCTACAGTGAACTGTGCAGCTATAATGTAATGCTTATTCTATGATTCATGGGGCTCTGGTTATGACTTCAGTTCAGCTTTGATGCTTTTTATTGCTGGATCAGTTGAACTCGTGGCCGATGCATGCCTTCGTTTGTGATGCGGTTCATTGTGATGCATGAATGAACAATATGCTTCATATGGCATCATGACGCTCAGATTAATTTCTCTGAATGTTTACTGCCTAGGGAACGGTGCTGTACGCTTGTTCACTGACATGCAGTATTAAACATACAGTATTATGAATGCAAACGCCTGACATCTGTCTCTCTGGAGCCGCTGGTTGGTGATTATGGATTATTACACACTCACATTAACCTCAGCATTAGTAAGTTTGTAGTCTTTGTAGTCCACTAGAAGGCAGCAGCAACTTAGTATAATGTAGTTTTGCCGCTCTTTTTCTGATTTGAATCATATTTGGTGGATTGGTTGGAAAAAATAACAATACGAAATATTCGTTATCAACAAATGACTTTTATTGATCTATTTTAATATGTAAAAATATTTAGCCAGGTCAGACTTTTCTCTCAATGTCTTTAGTTTCAAGTTGTCATTTATTTCATTACATTTCTTTTTGTGTAGCTACAGTACATGATGTGATTCAAGCTTTATACTTTGAGGTCTGAATTCGCTTGGATAAAAGTCTCAAGTCTCCAGTTAAATCTGACAAAACAATAACTGGTTTAAAATTAAAAACTGTTCATAAATAAAGAAAAATATTTTATTTGTTATTTCTAAAAAAATAACATTTCGTGTCTTAGTTTGGTTTTGCTTAGTTTATAGTAATTTTAGGTGCTTTCATCTTATATGTATGTATATATATAGAGAAAGAGAGAGAGCTTTAATTTTTATTTCAGTATTAGTTACATTTTTTATTTATGTAATTCAAGTTTATTTAGGTTTAACCTTTTCATCGAATATTTATATTTTATTTCAGCTTCATTCAAAAATGTAACATTTATACTTTGAGGACAAATTTGCTCGGTCGAAAGTCGAGTTAGTTAAATCTGACGAAATCGGAGAAAAACAGTTCATAAATAGAGTAAAAAATACTTTCTTTTTATTTTTAAAATGATAACGTTTGGTGTTTTAGTTTGGTAAGACAGCAGTAATAATATTTAGTCTTATTTGAAATAATCAAATATGGTATGAAGTCTAAAGTATGAGGGTTATTTTAGTATTATTGAGATATTATTATAGTTTTTATTCATATTTTGAATTAGTTTTTATATTATATTATTATTTTTCAAATATATTTATTTCCATTAATTTGAGCTATTTTACTACATGATCAACTAAATGAAAATGAGAAATGTTGCCTTAGCAACTAAATGGAAATAAAATATTTGATTTTATTTCCAGTAGAGTTTATTTTAATTTAAGTAATGAAAAATGTTTTGTGGTTTTAGTTTCAGTTCACTATAATAACCCCGATGAGTATTTGATGGCGGTGCGTGCACACGCTGCGGCTTCTCTCTCTCCCGACAAAACGGTGTTTTCGTGTTTTTTATCTTGTGAGTCGCAGTGTTTTTGTACGTATTCGCGTCTATCTGTCTCTAAGCGCGCATACAGTCGTGAGTTTCTGCTCGATGTCGGCAGAACCACATTTTTAGAGCTAAACTCTGCGCACGCCGAAGAGCTGCGGGACCTCGGTCTGCTCCGGAGGCCTACACCATCACCGACCCCCACTACTGCATCTCGCCCACAGCGGAGGCGCCACAAGCGGTGCGAGAGGAAGCAGAAGAGGGGTAAGCGCGGAGGTATTCGGGCTAGTCTAGCGGCTAACCCGCACAAGCCAGCTATCCCCACCATCGTACTGGCTAACGTACGCTCTTTGGACAATAAACTCACCCCTGGTGGAGTTTGTTTACTAAGTGCCAGCCGTTCTATCTACCGAGGGAATATACAGCCATACTGCTCGTTTTGGTCATTTATTTTGCTAGCTAGGTAGTGTTTGAGCTATACATTAAAGCCTTATATAAACTCCTCAGATGCACCGCGGAGGGTCTTCGATGCGGATCTTAAATTTCTGTGGGAGAGAAAGTTGCTGGAGAATGTCAAAATCAGCTTGATTGGAGCAAAATAAATGACGACTAATACAAGTGTTCAGTTTCTGACATATAGCCTGAATCTGAAATAGTTTATTGTGAGCAGTGCCTCTGTTAGCTTCATTTACATGTCAGCAGCAGCTCTCTCTCTTGCTTTTCTGAGGCCTTGGTGATGTAAAACTGCTCACCAGGGGCCTCGTGTGTGAATGTTTTGTACACACTAATTAAGTTTTTGAAAAGTCCATACACTAGAGATCAACCAATCATGGATTGTGCGATAATTACAGTCATTGAAAAAAGCTCATTCCCAATTAATCGGTCAAAAGTTGAATAAAAAACTATATATTGAACTGAATAAGGTGAATCTTTATATCATGGCATTATTATTTTATGAGGTAGATTAATTTGAAAAGAAAAATTGCACGAGATAAGACATTTTGAGACAATGTATCTTCAATTAATTTTTTGTTTTACAATATTTTCAATTGGCTTTTTTATATTTACAGTTTTTCATTTTAATTATAGTTTAAGTTTTAGTAATTTTACTGTGCTTTTATGATTTTATTAGTATTTGCATTTTAAAAAATTGTATATAATTATTTTGTTTATTTTAGTTTTACATTTAGTATTTGAAGTACTTTAACTTATTTCAGTTGTCAACATTTCTACTTTTTTTTAAGAAAATTTTGATGTATGTCAAAGTCATATGACCCCTTTAATGAGGGGAAAAACCACAATCCCATGAAGCATTATAACTAGGGATGCACGATATTATCGGACTGATATCAGAATCGGCCGATAATGACTTTAAATGTAAATATCGGCATTGGGGCCAGATATGAGAGTTTTTTTTTATTTTTATTTTTTTACTTTTTTAAATAGTTTTTCATCTAATATTTATATATATATTTTTTTTTTTTCAGCTTTATTTCAATTACCAATTTTTTTTTATTTTATTTCATTTTATTTTTTTACAATATCAACACTGTAGCCCACTGGCAATTTGTTTTTGTCTCGTTTTAAGCATAAATCTAGCAATTTTGAGGTTTATGCTTAAAATAAGGGGGAAAAAAGTATATTTCTAATGGGAAAATAATACAAATAAGCTTAAAAACAAAGCCTTAATATTGAACATTGTTTTGCTTCTCACATGAATTGATCTTGTTTTGAGAGTGTTTCTACTAGGGAGAAAAATACAGAAATCCTAGCGTATAAATGAGCAACATTAGCATTATAACAGCTTACAGAGAGTTTCTCAGTGTCTCCCTTCAGCACTCTCTCCAGATACAGCTGCTTGATCTCGCGCTCCAAACGGGAAGGAAGTCCCGGATACATGGTGCTTCCTCCAGACAGGACGATGTGCTTGTAGAAATCCGACCTTCAGATGGATGGAAAAATCCAGATGGAAATCAATTTAATTTCTATCAGAAACAACTGTGACATGCTGAAAATGACCTCAGAGAAAGTGCTTCGGTTGTGTTTAACCTGAAATATTCCTTTTAAAAACTAGCTGTGCTGAGTAAAGGCCCTCCAGAAGGTCTTGGATAAAAATACCCCCTGACTTGTTAGCAGAAGAACATTTGCAGGACAAATCTGTCCAATTACTGACCATACGTCAAGTCAACTTTTGCACAGAGTCAAGCATTAAGCGTCTGATTGAGGACGATGCTGTTGAATGATTCTGACCTGATGTCAATGTCTGCTGCCTGGATGGTGTTGAAGAGCAGTTCGGCCACACCAACACCCTCCACGTTAATGCGATGAGGCTGGAAAAGAGCCTTTGGCGCACCAAACCTCTCGCCTCCGACTATCATCCGCCCGTCTGGTAACTGCACACAAAAAAGGTCAGTCAAATTTGTATTTTCTGTAAAGAGGCCAGTCAAGTTTAAATATACATGCATGAGAAACTTAAAGCAGCTCTCTTGTGCCCCCTATTTGCAGATACATAGAGTGCATCAGTGCTTTTTGAGTGGGGTTTTTTTTTTCCATTAATTTTTCTTACAGGGATTTTTTTTTAGTTTTCATTAAAGAGTTAAAAGCCTTGAACCAAACCAACCTGCTACTGGGTGAATCACAACACTGCTTGGAAGCAAAAACGTATTTGAAAATCGAACAAAAAGATAAAGGTACAAGACCAGCTTTAATGAGGGGAAAAAACTACAATCCCATGAGGCATTATAACTGACATAATCGCATTAAAAACTATGGTGAGATACAAAACTATTATTTTAAAGTTGTTGATTTTACTATAGAAACAATATTTTACATTTATTACCAAATATCAGTAGTATATATACTAATATTTTTTGTGTAAGTATTGTGAGAGCGTAAAGAGATCAACTTGATTACATAATTGTCGGTGCATCATGGGAGTGGGCGGAGCTAAAGAGCTCTTGGTGACTCTGGTGGAATTCTTGCACAGCATCATGGGTAATGTAGTTTTCACCACAAATTCCACTGTTTTAACGGATATTTTAAAAAATGAGTTGAAATAATGCAAACAGATGGTTTGAACAAAAACATATACCATTGATTAACAACCATGGAGCTCACAACAGGTCTGTCTTTAAATATTTATAAGTTATCGTTCAATTGGAAATCTCAACTGGAAAGTTAAAGTAATATGCACTATATCTGTAATTCTCAGTTAGTTTTGGACAAGCAATATAGTATCAAACTTAGCCTATTTTTGTTCATGGTTTGCGAGGGCATTTCCTAGAATATCTTCATTTTCATCAAGTGTAAGAATATTTTGTGTGTTTTTAAGTGTATTACCGTGTAGGACTCCACCAGGACACTGGTCTCATTGGCCAGTTTCTGTTCCTGCTCAATGTTGTAGCCAACAAAACACAGATTCTCCTTCATCATCCGCACAGTCTCGAAGTCCACCGTGTGGTTGAAGACGTAGCCTCGCAGGAGCAGAAGCTGCACGGATGAATATATAATGGATGAAAGATGTATTTTTGCTAACACTTGTCATATATTGGTGATTTTAAAAAATTAAATAAAACAATAATTCTAGATTCTAGTTTTTAATCCATTTTAAGATAATTTGTGACCCTGGAGCACAAAACCAGTCTTAAGTCACTGGGGTATATTTGTAGCAATAGTAATAGCAAAATTATCCATTTTTATTTTATGCCAAAAATCATTAGGATATTAAGTAAAGATGTTCCATTAAGATATTTTGTAAATGTCCTACTGTAAATATAAAAACTTAGTAATATGCATTGCTAAGAACTTAATTTAGACAACTTTAAAGATGATTTTCTCAATATTTAGATTTTTTTGCACCCTCAGATTCCAGATTTTCAAATAGTTGCATCTCAGCCAAATATTGTCCGATCCTAACAAACCATACATCAATGGAAGCTTATTTATTCAGCTTTCAGGTGATGCATAAATCTCAATTTCGAAAAAATTGACCCTTATGACTGGTTTTGTGCTCCAGGGTCACATTTATGAAAATTAGTCTGCAAAATAGACAGTTTAATGAAACATCTCAGGTAGAAGTTAAACTCGAAGGCATCTGTGAATTAATACTGATTACAGTAATAATGCATTTACAATGCAAGTCAAGAGTCCTGATATTAATATGTCACAGTTTCCACAAAAATATGAAGCAGCACAACTGTTTTCAACATTGATAATAATCAGAAATGTTTCTCGAGCAGCAAATCTGCATATTAGAATGATTTCTTAAGATCATGTGACACTGAAGGCTGGAGTAATGATGTTGAAAATACAGCTTTGATCACAGAAATAAATTATATTTTATAATATATTGAAAGAGAAAACCGTTTTTTAAAATTGTAATAATATTTCAAAATAGTAGGTCATTTTGATCAAATAAATGCAGCCCTCTGCGTACCATATATTGAAGAACACTGGTGTGCAAGACAACTTTGGACCCCACTGATTTTCACTGTGTGGATGCAGAAGTTTGGAAAGACATGAGGATGAGTAAATGATGACAAATTGCTAGTTTTTGAGGTGAACTGTCTCTTTTAACATGTACTGAACCGGTAACATTGCACTAAAGTGTTCGTCCTCAGTTTCCATGGTGAGAACAGAAAAGTGGAAAGGAAAATGTGACCTTAATCAGATTAAGCGTGATGTCTCGTCCTGCGATGTCTAAGTGGCGCGTGAGGTGAGGCAGAGAGAAGCCCTCGTAAACGGGACAGATGTGAGTCACACCATCTCCCGAGTCGACCACCACACCGGTCAACAAACCTGCCACACGAACACAGCATACACTCAGGGTTGCCAAGTCTGCGATTTTCAGAATTGGGCCCCTTTTAAACGGTTGTTGAGAGTTGATTTTTTTCCTGCGTGTTTGACATGTTCAATGTTGGGATGGTTACTTTGGAAATGTTAGAAAAGTTATCCTATTTAAAATGTAATAAGTAGTGTGACTATTTCAATTACTTTATTCATGTAACTGATTACATTTGATTACTTTTCTACATTTCTAATGAATGTTTTCAACTGTTAATCAATCATTTAAAGCAGACAGGGTTAACCTTACAGTAGCACTCAACACTGATTACTGTCAGACTTTCAAAATCCTTCTTCACTTGAATTAAGATCATAATAATTTAATTTAAAACACAGCCACCACAAAATCAGACTTTAGCACTCGACTCTATTTACTTTGAGATCATTCTGAGGTTAAATACAGATATAAAATCATTACAAGAAACCATTTAATAGCTAGGATACTGTTTTTTAAATCAAATCTTTGCATAGCTATGACAGGAAACACTGGCATCTAACAAAGCCTTGGAAGAAAAAAAAAATAGTTAATCTTAAAAAATAAAGCATATACTTAAACCCAAATAGGAAATAAAACAGTTAAGCATGTGTCCTATTCTGTGTCCTAAACTCCTGGTGTCTACTATTTTAAAGCAGTCAATGCAATTTGGGAACGAAATCAATCATATCTGCATGTGTGTGAAAATATTCAGATGTAACCCACTTTGTAATTGTTAACAATTTCATAAATAACTAATTTAATTACACGTTTTTTTCTCAGTAAATGTGACAAATGTAACAGTTACATTTATTTTGTCATTTAACTACGTACCGCTGTTACGTGTAACTAGTCACTCCCCAACACTGGACATATTGCATATTTGACTGGAATGTTTATATTGATATATTTTAGGGCCATTTTCTATCTACCAAATGCTAGGTGACGAGTTTTGTGAGGGAGGGTACAATCCAGCCTTTGGGCTTCTTTGAAAACAGACTGATTATGAGTGATTTTTCAAATCCCGCCTTTTAAATAAAACAGACAATCGCCGATTAATAAAGTTATCGTGTCTTACACATGCGCAATGGCTGGATCAACCCGAAGATTTTTTTAATGCTAATTGAGCTTAAAGGGATAGTTCACCCAAAAATGAAAATTCTGTCATCAATTACTCACCCTCATGCCGAACACAAATTAAGATATTTCTGATGAAATCCGAAAGCTTTCTGACCCTCCATGAAGGGTACTACCACGATCAAGGCCCAGAAACATAATAAGGACATCGTTAAAATAGTCCATGTGACATCAGGGGTTAAGCCATAATTTTACGAAGCTATGACAATACTTTTTGTGTGCAAAGAAAACTAAAATAACAACTTTATTCAACAATACTTCTTCTCCTAGGGCGCTATCTTGGAGAGTCACGACGTATGCGCAAGCTCTCCTCTAAATGTAAACCAGGCGCAGCACGTGCGTGTTCAACGTCAGCTGCATCACGCGCATTTGTTGTTTACATGCAGGAAAATCATGCGCATGCATCATGATAATACCCTCCAAAATGGCACTCTAGGGTGACACGGAGGAGAAGAATTGTTGAGTAAAGTTATTTTTGAAGAGACTCAACGTAGCTTCATAAAATTACGGTTGTACCCCTGATGTCACATGGACTATTGTAACGATGTCCTTTCTGGTCCTTGATCGTGGTAGTAGCCTACCCTTGCTGCCTATGCAGGGTCAGAAAGCTCTCGGATTTCATCAAAAATATTTGTGTTCTGAAGATGAACGGTCTTGCGGGTTTGGAACGACATGAGGGTGAGTAATTAATGACCGAATTTTCATTTTTGGGTGAACTATCCCTTTAAGAAACGATATTTATGGGAAAGTTCATGTCAGATTATTTGCTAATTTCAAATATGTTATTTAAACGTTTAAATAACAAAACTTTCATAACGTTTAAATTTACCGTTTATGTTGAGACAATGAAATATCCAACTCAACTACTAAACCTATTTTTTAATCTGCCGCTTACTTTTTTAAAGATGAAACCGTAAGGCATCATTATGTATTCTAATGATGAATTGTAAGTTGTGATAACTAATCAAAGCTATTTTTTCAGTGTTTTGATATTAGGGTGATTGGGTTAGTTTGGCCTATTTTTGATTACCCATTGACCTAGTTTTGTTTTGCAGACCTGGCAACCCTTTTTCATTGACGTTCAGCACATTTCAGAGGTTCACCGGTCTGTTTTACCCTGAGCGTAGAGAGTCAGCACGGCTTGAATGGCGATGTAGATGCCGTGGAACTTGTAGGTCTCAAACATGACCTCGGCGATCTTCTGCCGGTTCTTCAGCGGGTTCTCCGTCAGCAGGACCTTACAGTCGGGAGGGTTGATGTTGAGCTGCTGCAGGCCGAACGTGTGATCATCCCACAGGTGCAGCATGTCCTCCCAGCAGCGGACTATCCCGTTCTCCATGGGGTACGAGACCTCCAGCATGGAGCGCCATTCGCTCGCCTCATCACCAACCATCAGATCCTGAAGAGAGGCGAACAGTGTTGACTTCAGTATTGAATGAGTAAAAAACAATAACAAATTATTAAAGCATTGAGGGTGTTGAATTTTTAATTATAACACAGATAGTTCCGGTCCTTGATTCTGATTGGCTGAACCACGTTCGGAGCTGTTGTAAATTACTCTACAAACACACACCTTTGTTTACGTTTGTGTGTTGCTCGGCAACCACTTTGTTGGAACCACAACTGTTTCTCAGGAGCTACGTTCCGGTCCTTGATTCTGATTGGCTGAACCACATTCGGAGCTGTTGTAAATTACTCTACAAACACACACCTTTGTTTACGTTTGTGTGTTGCTCGGCAACCACTTTGTTGGAACCACAACTGTTTCTGAGGAGCTACATTGTTTGGTGGAAGAATACTGTTTTTATTAATATCATTACACTTTATTTGCTCTGTTTTATTTTGTGAAACTAACTACGTATATGGAATAACCGTTTTATAAAAGCAATAAGCCCCGTGAAGCCGTGGTTTACAGTGAATTTTATAACAGCTTACCTAACAACGCCCCTTAGCTGTTATAAATTCACTGTAAACCACGGCTTCTTGCTTTATTATCCTTATTTACTTTAATAAAAATTATTTTTATTCAATTCATTTAAAAATGCATCTGTGTATTCAATTAATTATATACTCTTGCCAGTTTAAAGATGGAGTATAGTTTCTGCAGCAAAAATAATGAATCTCGCGCAACTCTAATAATCTGCTGTTTAATGTCAGCGGTCTTGACATTTTTTAAAAGAAAATTGTTTTGTTATATATCTGAAAAATATAAACCTATATTAGAATATGACAGTGTATATGTTGTTTATATTACATTTCTGTGATTATTGAAATGTTTGAATCACTCTTGAAATGTATGAGAGGATAAGGGATATGTTATAGCATTAAATAATATGGAATAAGGCACTTAAATGTACAATAGAAGATATATTAAAACGAGGAATAGAATTATTCTAAATAATTATAAATCTACAAATGAGAGATGTTTTATTGCTATCTTGTTAAATGACAATGTGTATTAGTGTAATTTATTTATACTACATTAGTATGATATATTTATTAATATTTTGAATTATTTTCTAATTTAATATTTTCAGGTTGTATTTTAGTTTTGTCATTTTTATTGTTTGTTTCTTTTAAGCATTTCTATATTTTCTAATTTTATTTTATTTTTATTTGTTTTAACAGTTTTATTTCAATGTAATTTTAGTGTTTTAAATGTATTTACTTCACTACTTGGTATTACAACCTTTTAAAATTTCATTCATTTTTTCATATAATATTTTTTAGATTTTTATTTCAGCTTTATTTTTTATTTTTTTGGCTGGATAACTCACCTTGATCTCTATATTCCCAACTTTTGTGTCTGACTGAATGATGGGACGTTTAAAAGTTTAATTAAGAATGTCAGAAGCTTTTAAAACGGCAATATATTTAGTTCCATGTACATTTCTGAATTCAAACAAGTTTCCTTCAACATTCATTTCAACACAAATAGTGCTGATGTTCAGTCCTGTGCATCAGTATCAAGTATTTAAATCAGTGATATTCAGTAGCAGCAGATATAGCGTTTTAGCCCCATTATAATGACTTGTGTATCTCTTACCCCGTCCCATTGTCACAGACGACCACTTTCCTCCCGCTGCTGTCCATGCTGTTTCAGATGAGCTGCAGGGACTGTCAGTGCATTCGGTGAGGATGCAGACGCTCGTCAGTCTCAGTCTGGCTGTTTTGTGAAGTGAGGTCAGATTTAAAGGGGCCGGTTTACCTGAGGATTATTTTTTCTTATCTTGCACAGTTACACTATAGACGTAATTTAATGGAAACGTAATGCACAAATCTTAGAGTAAAACCTGTTAATTACTGAACTGCCAATTATCTTATCACACAGTAAATAAGTGACCCTGGAGCACAAAAGCAGTCTTAAGTCTTCGGGGTGTAGCAATAGCCAACAATACATTGTATGGGTCAAAATTATTGATTTTTCTTTTATGCCAAAAATCATTAGGATATTAAGTAAAGATCATGTTCCATGAAGATATTTTGTAAATGTCCTACTGTAAATATATTAAAACGTAATTTTTGATTAGTAATATGCATTGCTAAGAACTTCATTTGGACAACTTTAAAGGCGATTTTCTCAATATTTAGATTTTTTTTGCACCCTCAGATTCCAGATTTTCACATAGTTGTATCTCGGCCAAATATTGTCCTATCCTTACAAACCATACATCAATGGAACGCTTATTTATTTAGCTTTGAGATGGTGTATAAATCTCAATTTCAAAAAATTGACCCTTATTACTGGTTTTGTGCTCCAGGGTCACATATATTACATTTTTAAAAATATGTAAATATGAAATCTATAATTTAGATTACTGTAAAATATTGTGAAAAATGATACATTAAGAAAGCAGTATGTATACAGTAATGAAATCCCAAAGGAAAATCCTTTTATCTTGCAGAGTTGAACTCTATGTAATTTAATGGAAAAATATTGCAGAAATCTTATAGTAAAACCTGTTAATTGCTGAACTGTAAGTCGCCTTGTCATACAATAAAATGTTGCATTTTAAAAGATAATACGTCATTTAAAATGACCTTATAATTGAGAAAACGTTTAGTCTATTTAACAAAGCAACTTTTACAGTAAAACAGTAAAATAAAAAATTAAATCCCAAAAGAAATACCTTTTATCTTGCAGAATTTCACTCTAAAAATGTGTAATTTAATGGGAACATTTTTTCAAAACTTTTATAGTAAAAAACTGTTATCTTATCTTATAACTTATCATACAGGAAATTTATTTTATTTTATTTGAATTATTATGCATTATATTTTAGAAGACAATAGATATTTAAATGACTGTAAAATATTACCTTATAATTGAGAAAATGTATAGCAAAATAGCAATATACATACTTATACAGTAAAATATTAAACTGCTTTGTATGAAAAATGGCTATGGTTTTGCTTATAATTTACAGGTGAAAATATACCTGTATATTTATTGAAAATATACCTGTGTATATAAATAGTGGTAGAGCATTGCGTTAGCAGCGCAAAAGGTCGTGGGTTCAATTCCCAAGAAACACACATACTGGTCAAAAATGTATAACCTGAATGCACTGTAAGTCGCTTTAAAAGCATCTACTAAATGCATAAATTATTAAATTATATACTATATTTAGCAATGCGATGCATATACTTTTAGAATAAAATATGGTTATTTTTTATACAAGTATGGATCAGAAGATCCGAATTTCTTCTTTTGTGTTTTACAGAATTAAATTATGCTAATATTTTAACTTATTCCTTCAAATGGTGATTTGGGTTTTGTAAAGCTGTGTTATTTGAACGGGTAATTTAGTTGATGGTTACAAGCCACTTGTACACTTGTTACAAGCTGTGAACAGCCTTTGTTTTGCCAGCTGTTTAGCATCTACAATTCAAACTTTGAGTCTCTTCAAAAATAATTTCATTTATTTCAAAACTGCAAACAGCAGACAAATGAAAACAAGACAGTCGCGTTCTTCATGTGACTTCGGTGAGTTTGATGTCGTAGGCACATAAAAAGCTGACTGACGCAATGTACACACGCTATATGACGTATGTTGATGTGTCATAAATTCACAGCGAGGTCAGCAGCATTAATATTCCATAACATGTGAGTTAATCTATGTTTATCATCATGATTATATTCCTGTGTAAAACAGTTCAATGGTCCTAAATCCTCATTTAACAATAAAATGCACAAGCAACTGACACAACCTACACGATGTTCTTATGAAAACATACAGCAGCACATTACTTCTACCTTCAAGATCAAACCGTTTCATGTTTGTAGTGCTATGAAAGGCCTGGCTGGACCATCTAGACTAGACTTTGAATACAAAATTTGCATAATATATGTCCTTCTGTGCGATATGTCTCATATTTTGTGCCACCTGAGTATTAGAATGATTGAAAAAGCCAATGAACCTGAAGAGATTGATTTGGCACGTGCCTATTAAGAGGTCCAGTCTTAAAATTGTAGCTCCTCTTTGGTCAGGGACAGACCAAACACGAAAAAAGGGAGTAACTTTGTCCTTTTTAGTCAGATTTCCTAACAGCAAATCGAGCTGATTCCTCAGTCTTTCTTTTAAGTGCATGTCTAAGCAGCAGTCCTCTGCCCTCCAGACGCTTCAAAGCCTCATGTGTTTCCAGTGCAGGCGTTCTTCACGACTCAAAGTCGCTGTCGCTGCTGACGGATATGTCCGGCGTGGCGGCCCCGGTCCCCCGTGGCCCCGTGCCTGAGCTGCAGTCGCTGTTCTCCCCTGGGCTCCCGGGACGATGTGGTGAGGAGCCCTGGAGGTGCGTGTTGTGCTCCGAGGAGCATTCTGGAGAGCTTCCGGAGGGAAGGAGGGAGGAATCTTGCTGCAGCCTGGGGAAAAAAAAGACAGCGGTAGATGGATATTTACTCTTGAGATGCAAATCAACATAGACACATTTGAAGCTCCTACACTCTTAAAGGGTTAGTTCACCCAAAAATTAAAATTCTGTCATTAATTACTCACCCTCGTGTCGTTCCAAACCCGTAAGACCTTCGTTCATCTTCTGAACACAAATTAAGATATTTTTGATGAAATCTGAGAGCTCTCTGACCCTGCATAGACAGCAAGGATCCTTACACGATCAAGGCTAAGAAACGTAGCAAGGAGATCGTTAAAATAATCCATGTGACATCAGCTACGAGAATACTTTTTGTGCGCAAAGAAAACAAAAATAACGACTTTATTCAACAATTCGTCTCCTCTGCGTCACCCTATAGCGCCATTTTGGAGAGTATCACATACGTAAACAACGTATGCAATGTATGTACGCGGATACGCTGTTTACATTGTTTCCACTTTGATCTGAACGTAAACAGCATATCCGCATACATACGTTGTTTACGTATGTGATATTCTCCAAAATGGCACCAGGGTGACGCAGAGGAGACGAATTGTTGAATAAAGTCGCTATTTTTGTTTTCTTTGCGCACAAAAAGTATTCTCGTAGCTTCGTAAAATTACGGTTGAACCACTGATTACATGGATTATTTTAACGATCTCCTTGCTACGTTTCTGGTCCTTGATCGTGGTAGTACCCTAGCTGTCTATGGGAGGGTCAGAGAGCTCTCGAATTTCATCAAAAATAACTTAATTTGTGTTGCGAAGATGAACGGCGCTCTTACGGGTTTGAAACGACATGAGGGTGAGTAATTAATGACAGCATTTTTTGGGTGAACTATCCCTTTAAATATAAAGGTTCCAAAAGGAGGTTTTTCACAGTGATGCCATAGAAGAACCATTTTTGGTTTCCCAAAGAGCCCTTCAGCGAACATTTCTTAAAAATAACCTTTTTTTTTTCTTCATGTGAAGAACATTTTAAAAATCAAAAAAAAAAAAAAAAACATTTTTCCACTATAAAGAACCTTTTGTAGAATGGAATAATTCCATGGCTCTTCATGGAATCATTGATGCCGAAAAATAACCTTTAAAGGGGTCATAGGATGCCCATTTTCCACAAGTTGATATGATTCTTTAGGGTCTTAA